GGGAACAAAAACTTACAAACTGGCTGTTGGTTCTGGAGGAGTCAAAATCTCTCCACCAGAGGTGCTTCTACTGTTTTATTCCTTTGCGTACTGATCGTTTGGATTCACCTGCTGAAGGTGATTTCTGCAAGGATGTGAAATTTAAGGTTGTTAAAGAAAAGCCCTGTCTCACAGTCAGAAGGTCTGGGCCTAGGGATGGGTACACTGGCACAGTTGGGGTTGGGAGAGATGGTCAAAGGATCCAGTGTGAGGGATGTGCAAGCTCTCTTTAGACTCAAGCCTTGGGCAGCCTCCTCTTGATCTTCTTGGTTGTGTGAGAGCATCTGATTCTCTTGCTGGGAAGGCAGAAGTACTCAGATTTCAAGCAGGCCGTGTCCTTTGTGGCGGGAGATGCTGTCATGCCCCAGCCATGCTGGCAATAGTGCCTGTAGATGTGGGCTGCCTAGCATCTCTGATCTGTTTTCTCCTCTAGCCCTGCGTTGCCCTCACTGGTTGCTCTCTGTGGACCTGGCGGTGGATGTAAAAGACCACTCCCAGTGACTAAGGGCCATATGCATGAATGCTTTTTCCCCAATAGCCCTCACTGCCCCACTTAAAGAGTTGCTCCCAGGTCCTTAGGGACAAAATGTCCCATTGTGGAAAGTATTTCTGCCATTAGCGTGCTCGAGACCTCACCCAAGATTAGGAGACTGTTGTGCAACACGCAAGTGACATTTCCTGCCCTGGGGACCTTGCAGCCTTCATAAACAGTAGGTGTGAGGGGAAGAAGATTTGTTGTAAGCTGGTGACTGGGACCCGGCCAGGACCAAACCCACCCATTCCACAAGCTGGCTCATTTAGCATGGTTCTGTGATCTGCTCTCATTTGAGCAGCTCCTTCATGGACCAAGGGCAGGGTTTGATAAAGCATTAAAATAGAAAGCCGTTAGCATTAGGTTAGCATTAGGGATCCAACCCATAAAAAAGATCATGATCACAAGACCGATATAATCTAAGATAAGGGTTGGGCAAAGTCACTCCGGGAGCTGAGCCTTCGAAGAGGAACACGAGACTTTCTAGCACACGTGGCAAAGGAGGCTGTTCCAACCACGGGACTGTTTCTTTCCTAGCCAAACTGGCAAATGTTATCCTTTCCTTAACCCTGCTCCACACGTGGCTTTGGGAGGGGGACTAAATCTTTTGAGGAGGACCTCTTAGCAGAAAGGCTATTATAGAAGTCACCGGACGGGCCCATAAATCTCCATTATCAGGCAGTGGCTCCTGCACCACGAAACGGAAATCGTTGCCCTGAGTGCAACTGGGGGAGCCTTTCCTTCCATTCCATTGTTCAGGTCCCTCTGGGAGCCGTTCAGGCAATTTGCTGCCTGAATAAACGTTTCCTTTCTCGGCTGCTAGTACAAGGTGAGGGAACGAATAAGTGTCAGGGGATCCCATAATGCCAGGATTTAGAGCTCCAGCCCCAACGCAGCAGCCAAGAAAACACATTGCTGCTTCTCATGAGGAGCCTCCAGTCTGCCAGGCCTTAAGCCCTGTTATTTATAACAAAGGGCAAATGAAGCAATCAGCAAGCGTGCCCCAAACTGGGTGCAGATTTGGATGCCACGATTTAAGAAAGACATAAAACTATTAGAGGGTCCAAAGGAATCCTATGAAGATGGCTCCTGTTATTGTGGGCTCAGAGCACTAGGAATGGCCTTGTCTCAGTGAGGACCTTGGAGATGCTGTGGCCTTCTCAAGAGAACCCATGCATGGGAAGGGGTCCTTCTTCCCACTTATGCCCCTGAGGGAGGGAGGCAGGCAAGGACCATTGCCCATATCTTCATAAATGAGCAGCTGTTTTGAATGTTTGGGTTTCCTATGTCTTGGATGTCTGGCCACGTCAAACTGCGTGGGTTACTGCTGGTAAGGTCAACTTACTATTTTACAGACCCACACACAGGACCAGTTCAGAAGACTGCCCTTCACAGCTTCAGCCCTGAATTTAGTGATGCTGTGAAATTAGAGCATCTCTTTTAGGAAACAATCTAGTCCCTTGCCTTTTCTCCATTGGTGCCAAAATGTGTTACCCTTTTATTCTCTGAAAGGTGCTCACTAAGCCTGCATTGTCTTCTCTGAGCCAATCTTGAGTAGTTTCCAAGACACATCCTTCTAGAGAACATCCCTGCTGAGAGGAACTTGTCATCACCAAGCACGTCTTGAAGAAAGAGAGGCTTTTTCTCCTCCAGGTGAGACTTGCTGAAGTCAAGGAGGCCTGACACGACTCTAGGAATGGCATTAATGCACTCCACAGATGTCATCTTCTGACTCAGCGCTGGCTGCTGCATGCAGAGGACGCACCCATCTGCTATCTCCCCATGAGGCTGTCATTAAGGAGAGCCACCCATTGCGTGGAGCCTCAGCGTGACCTGGGAACAAAGTCTGCTCCTTCTCCATCTCTGGTTATTCCTATTTATTAGCGTTTCACAAGGCTCACCTTTGTCTGCAGCTGAGAGTGGAAAATCATATTTATGCTATCCTAACCAAGGGCTAGTCCAGCTCTTGACATTTCCAAAGTGTTTGCCTTTTTCTTGCTTTGATTAAAAACATTCAGATTTTGGTTTTCTAGCATAAAATTCTCCAAGAAAGATGACATTTTGTAATTATCAGCCAAGGGTTTTAACTGTTGTCTTTGGACTACCCCTGCTATGCCCAGTTCTCCCTGGATTGTGTCAATGACTCTAGCTGACCTCGTTTTAAAGAGGAAAGGATTTTCTCACAAGATGAAAATTACTCTGAAAATAAAGTTGCTTTTTTTGGGAAGAGGGGGAAATGATTAATCCAAAATCTCAGAAATTTCTAAGATGAAAAAAAAAAAAAAACGGTGAAATGTTTTCCTTTCTTGAAATTTTTCAAGGAAATGAGTTCCTTCCTGACCAACTCTTACAATTCCTCCTTTTTTCAAAGGAAGTTTATTTGATCTGGATTTTGGCTGTGACTCAGTGATGATTTTAAAGGGGAAAGTGAGGCATTATGGTTGTAGCATCACTGAGTCCACATGTACAAAAAACACCTGGAGGGATTCCCATCTTTCCTAAAACACCAGCATTGCTCAAAGGAAATAAGGTTCTGGTTCTGAGCCCCTTAGGTACACCTTTTCCTGTCTTCTAGCATTTCCCCAATGCCGTCTTGCCATTTTTAGCCTGGTTTTCTAGAGAAAACTAAGCTCATATGAATCCTTCTCCATGTCTGGTTACTGCTCCCACCTCAGCCATTTTTTAATCCTTTGGTTGCCCAAGGAGGCTGTGGATGCCCCATCCCTGCAGGCATCCAAGGCCAGGCTGGATGTGGCTCTGGGCAGCCTGGTCTGCTGGTTGGCGACCTGCACATAGCAGGGGGTTGGAACTGGATGAGCATTGTGGTCGTTTTCAACCCAGGCCATTCTATGATTCTATGATTCTTTATAGAAATATAGTTTTCTACTGATCTTCCAAAAAAAGTTTGTAGAGCAGGAGAAAACATGGCTGATGTTTGAATGTAACACTTACTACTGGCAGAGAATCCACATGCGACCGAGACATAGATCTGCAAGAAATCCAATTCTGTTGGTTTGTTGTTTGGGGAACAGACTTCCAGCAGAAAGGAGATTCCTGTACAGGCAGCAGGGGGGCAAGCACAGTGTATAGCAGTGTTGGTACCAGCATGCTGTGAGTTAATGCTATACTGGTATGTGGTGGTTACAGGTCTCAGTGCAAAGCTTTTGCCATCCTCCAAAAGTCTCCTGTGTGATGCAGTATTTTAGAACCATGCTTTTTCAGCAGCCTGATTTACTCCCAGTCTACACCAAGCGATGGAGCCTTTTGCTGCTATTTGTTCTTTTCTTCTTCTCTCCAATCAGTTTCTTATCTCGCCTTCGTTTCTGCTGCTGGTAGCAGGACATGTGTATGCCTTGGTTGCTGTGTCTGGGTGGATAGGAAATCCAGAGGCAGGAATGGGTTTGTAACCTCATTTTCCAGAATAAATACCCTCCCCAGCCTGATCTCAATAGCTGATATTCTTCAAGTGGGATCACCAGCAGCAACACGCATTTTCAAGGGCCTTGCCAACTGCATGTAGCTACATTCTGTGCTTGTATTTTATTAGGTGAAGTGTGTTGGGCTGATTGAGTTTTGGCTTCTAGAGGGCTTTGTACACGAGGTTGAGCTGTCTTCCCAAGTGGTGACATTGTTGAGGTGCCCTGAGCTCTGCAGCAGTCTGCAGATGGCAAGGACCAGTCGCAGCCAGAAGGATGGGGCTGCCCCATCCTTGGGCAGTCATCCTTACCATCATGTCACAGCCACAGCTGAGCCACGGTGGAGGGTGAACCTGGACTGTGGTGAGTGAATGCACCAGGATGGAGATTTGCATCCAAATCTGTGACACCTCTGTTCAGGAGCTGCTTCTTGCGCTAATAGGGCAAAGGCATGAGAACATCTCTTTTCCTTGGCTCTCTACAGCAATTCTGCAGAGGGGCTGAGTAAGGAGCAGAGCTGTAAGAAGCACAGACAAGATTCTCTCTGCCCACACTTGCTTGATCTCCAATGAGGGATGCCTGGGCAGTTCTCTTCTGTGAGTCCAGGCTTGTGTTTTTCCATGGTCACAGGCAATTTGTCTGGACTGTAAACACAGCCATTTGCCTGCCCCAATCTGTTTGCCCTGGCTATGTCCAGTTTTGAAAATTGGATAACGTCAGAGCAGAAGGGAAGGTTTCTATTTCTGTCTCCTTGTATCCGTGTCCCAGCACATCCCTGCTGCCACAGAAGCCTTCCAGCCAACACTACGACAGGGAAAGGGGATTCTCTTCCCAATAATTTTGTTGGCTTCCCTGTGGAAGGAAAGCTGTTTCTTGCACTTTATAGACTCTGATTTCTGGTGATTTCTTTAAACATCACTGCTGGGTTCAAATATTGAGAACCAGAGCAAAAAAAAATTCACGTACAGTTGCTTAACTAACCAAACATTTTCCTTTCTCTCCCATCATGGCAGCAGAATTTTTTGATGATTATTCAGAGGGGCGAGAATGTGTCAACTGTGGGGCCATGTCCACCCCGCTCTGGAGGAGAGATGGCACAGGGCACTACCTCTGCAACGCCTGTGGGCTCTACCACAAGATGAACGGCATCAACCGGCCCTTGTTCAAACCTCAGAGGAGGCTGGTAAGTCAGCAGCACACGGCGTATGCGGGATAAGGCTGTGTGCAAGGATGGAGACAGCCAAGGTCAGGCTGGATGGGGCTCCGAGCACTGATGGAGCTGTGGGTGTCCCTGTTAAGTGCATGGAGTGGGACAGATGGCCTTTAAGCATCTCTTCCAACTCAAATGATTCTGTGATAAAAAGGTGACAGCTAGGTGGTGATGTCAGGGATATTTCCATTCTGTGGTCTCCATGTGCCTAACATAGCTGAGTTTGGTCCAGTTTTCCAAACTCAGCAAAATTACATTCTGTTTGATGAGATATTGATCTAAGATATTGTACTGTTCAAACTAATTGTGCTCTCACTTCATGGTGGTCAGACATCTTTTCTGGACACCCTGTTTCCTGCTGTAATTGGACAAGTTAAGCAGAGCTTCTGGAGCAAGTGATCATCCCAAAGGCTGTGGGGTCGGGATGGGACATTCATGGGGAATGGGAATATCTTGGTGTTGATATTCTGCCCATGCCAGCCTGCTTTGGAGGGGAGTTTTGGGAAGGGCATCTATGCCCCAGGGACATGGGGGTCACAGTCCCCAGGCAGCAGTGAGCCAGCAAGCCTTCCCTCAGAGACTCATCTTCCATGTGGCTTCATCCTAAGCCTGCCCTGCACTTCACATAGCACAAAACTGATTCTGCTCGAACCCAGCCATTCCCTGCAAGTGCCTAAAATCACACTTGTGGTTTGAGCACAGCCACCACTCACGGCCACCCAGCGCCCTCTGGTGAAAAGCCCTTCCAGCCATGGGCTGAGCCAAGCTGGTGATGAGTTGGACTGGATGTTCCTTGTAGGTGCTGCCCTTCCAGCACTGGGTCTTCTATGATTCTGTAATTCTGTGACCTGGAGCAAACTCGCTGGGATCCGAGATGCTGCCAGAGGGCTGATGTGTATTTTTTCCCTCTATTTTCTCTCACAGTCGGCTTCCCGTCGCGTCGGCCTCTCTTGTGCCAACTGCCACACGACCACAACCACACTCTGGCGCAGAAATGCCGAGGGAGAGCCTGTCTGCAATGCCTGTGGGCTCTACATGAAGCTCCATGGGGTAAAACCTTTATTCCTTTTTACTCTTATGGGGAGGGTGTCCAGAACACAAAGGTGACCCGCAAATTAGGTCCACATTCTTCCCTACATAAATGCACTTTAGTGAAATGCCTACCAGTGGGGACTTTGTGCATACAGGGAGTGTCTGATGTATCTAGAATAGTCCTGTTGGAGTCCGAGGCAAGCAGAACTTCAGGATGCAAATCTCCAGCCCTTCTCCCACCAGTCAGTGGCAACAGACCCAAAGTGGCAGAGACAGAGTCCTCCAACACCTTGGTGTTTACAGAAGCAAGACCCATTCTGATTCCCGTTGCTACTGTTAGGGTTTTTTTATTCACTTCCATGCTCTCAAGGTTTTCCTGCTTCAGAACAGATGGAAGTGTATTCATGAGCGATAGTCCAAAGCTGGAAGACAAGATAGATGAGGGGAAGCCACCTAACCCAACAAATTCTTCCTAGAAATCCCAGTATGTTTCTGACTATGAGGTTGGCGAGCTCAGTGGGATCAGTTCCTAAGGGAGATTTCCCCATACAGATTGGGTAGCTTTCCGTAAATAGGCATTGGCCAGAAAGACATCTTCATCTCCAAGTTCAACAGGAAAGTAAAAAAATCACTCAATATCTATGCTGTAAGAAAGCCCATCTATTCCCATTCAGAAGCACACTTTGTAGCTTTGACATCTCTCTTCATACAGCAATGCAGACCAGTGGCTTTGGGCTCCATTTTGTTGTTGCTTTCAATTAAATCAGCCGGGTTTTGTGGAGCTGATGAGGTAGAGCTGGAGTCATCTCTTAAGTGACTGTATGGATGTACAGAAACCAATGCTCTTGTATATCTGGGTTCACAGGTTCCAAGGCCATTAGCAATGAGAAAAGAGGGCATTCAGACAAGGAAGCGTAAGCCGAAGAACCTTAACAAAACAAAGACGCCAGCAGGTAAGCACTAAAAAGGAGTGCTAATTATGTGTGTACACACGTGCCATCGACCACTTGGATTTATGCTGTATGATTCAGACACCCAACAACAAAATGGGCTGATTCTTCAAAAAATGGGGAACGTTGGAATGAATTTCAGCAGTAACAAAGGCCTTTCTGCTACTTTTTTTTTTTTTTTTTTTTTTCAACCTACAGTAACTTTGAGTGCTTTGAAGTGAAAGGCCCTTGGGAAAAGTCCAATTTACCATCTGCTTTCCCACAGGTCCATCCAGCAGTGAGAGTCTTACTCCAACCACGAGCTCCACAAGTAGCAGCAGCAGTGCCACAACCACTGAGGAAATGCGCCCCATAAAAACAGAACCAGGGCTCTCATCTCATTATGGGCACCCCAGCCCAATTTCTCAGGTACTGAGGGCAGTGGGACAGAGATGGAACTGAGAGTGGTAGATAAGGGGAGAAGAACATCTTAAAAACCTTCTCTATACTAAGAGGTTGCTTCTTTTCAATGCTGGGATCTAGAAGTTCACAGTAGGAAATCTGGGATGGGGCAAAAATACACATGGCTTGTGTACCATGTTTACAGCACAATGTGGATGCTCAAAGATATGCAGAAGTTCTGAATGGACAAAAAGTTGTAGTAGCCCTGTTGAAAATGGGAGATTTCTTTCAGCTGGGCAGCTGCATAAGTCACACCACAATAAAAATATCCATTCTCTTTGTATGACTTGATTCGTCCTGAACAAGAAAATCTTGGCAGTAGGACTCTAGCTTATCTCCACTGGCTGGATGTGCATTGAGAAATGTACTCACATTGCCCTAATCTAACCCAGTCCCTGCAAAGGTAAATCAAGGCAGCAGGATGGCAGAGCTGCAGGGTACAGTGGGTGCTCTTCACCTTATCCACCACTAGATGTCTTAGGAACAGCACTGCATCCATGCATGGTGAGCATCCTTCTGAGCAACACCCAGATCTGGAAGCTGATCTTTGTGAGCCTTCTGTGGGTTTAATAATTATGCCTTGGTTAAGGATCCCCCGCAGTGCAGCACAACTGAAAAAATAGAAGTGGTAAATGATAGTTGCTCTCCTCTTGGGTTCATATGAGGAACAGCAGTATTTAAAAAGAAATAAGCATGGAGAAAAAGGTATGTTGGGCTGGACTGACCCTGCACCTGCAGCCCTTTGCAGCAAGGTTTGCAATCCACAGGAGGGCATTTGTGAACTAGGAACACCCAAGGCCAATGAATCCTCAAATCTTGGGTGGTAAAATGATCACTTATGGCATTTAGAAGAGAATAATTTGTCCCCTATGCAATACTAGTAAAAGGCAGGGTCTAGAACAAGAAGGAGAGTCTGCCCAAAGCATCACACATAAGCTATGGCAATCTATGGCAAATCCTCAGACATGTTACTGCCCCACATGAAGGGCTCCTCTATTATTTGAAGCTTTTTTTTTTTTTTACAAGGTTTTTCTTCTTCTGCAGGCATTCTCGGTCTCTGCCATGTCTGGACATGGATCTTCAATTCATCCTGCAATTTCAGCCCTGAAGCTTTCCCCGCAGGCTTACCAGTCAGCCATCAGCCAGTCTCCACAAACCAGCTCCAAACAGGACTCCTGGAACAGCCTGGTCTTAGCTGAAAACCATGGGGACATCATAACTGCATAAACTGGTCTTCCACTCATAGACTTGAGGCTGATCCACTGGAGAGATGAAGAAGATGCCACGTAATAATCATGTCAATGTTGTTTCCCTCCTCCCCTGCTCTCCTGCCATGGTGAGATGTTCCAACAAAGAGGTAAAGAGGTGAAGTGTAGGAGAGCTCTTACAAAACAAACCAAGAAGACTCAAATCTCAAAGTAACTAATGGATTTGAAACCTTTTTCCTCCCTTCAAACAAGTTTCCTTTTATTTGATTGCCACCACCTTCTAAGAAATAGCCAGAAACACAAAAATGAACATATTTTTTTTTGTGGGGGGTTGTCTATTTAAAAACATTTGCCATTTGAGACTTAGACAATGGTGGCACATACACATCTTTTTCTCCTGTCACCATCCATTTGTTTCCTGACCAGAGGGAATGCCATCATCATTACCCCATTTCAGTGATCCTCCATCAAATGGAGCCAGTTTCAGAACAGTTTGTGGAACAGACATGCTGTGGTGGCTTTAGTGGATTACATATGATCTAGGGTAGAGAAAAAAAAGAGACCCACATCCTCATCCTCAGCTCATGCATCTAGAGCATTGCCTTCATTTCCCTAGATGGTCTGAAAACCTAATGAATGTCTGTATTTAATAGTAACTCCTTTCCTATTTATCACTACAAAATCATGGGACTGTGTTTCTAAAAGATGGTTGGCTGAGCCTGGAGAAAGTCTGTCTGAAGTCAAAGGGGGATTTTGGAAGGAGAAACTTTCTGGAAGCGGGTAGAGGAAACCCACCTTGGTCATCAAATCCTGGAGGAAACTGTTGGGCTTTTCCCTTACAAATAGCTACAAGCCAGGCTTAGAGATTATTGTAGAGCGCAGCAAGTGAAAGTTTGCTCCTTAACGCTGCTGTGCTGTTGCTTTTGAGACAGTTAATTTAATTATTTTGCATACTTTTCTGTTGTCTTCATTGTCATTGATGAAATCTGATTGTCAATTATTTCTCATTGTACTGTGAGTGCCCACTGTTCCCTTAGCAGCTGGCTCATGACCATTTTCCATGTCTAACCCTTAAGGATTTCACCTTTCACAACAAGAAAAGTCCTCAGCCTCTAATGGATGCAGGCAGGGGCCATCTTCTTTACTAAGCATGTGCATAGACTTGCTTGCCTGCAAGAGAAGCTTAACTCCATTCATACACAAGTATTAAACAAAACTCATGTGTTTGCCTAACCATAAGCCTCTTAGCAACCAGAAAATTCTGGAAAATTGAGTTGGAAGTGATGCTGAGAGGCCACAGACTCATTCCCTTGTCCAAAAGGGATCAATTCTACCTAACCTACCTTTAGTTGCTCTTTGTCTAACATGTGCTTAACAAAATCCAGCAATGCATACGCTACAGCTCCTCTGTGCAGTCTAAATGCTTCTACAGATGCTTGCCAGAATGTTTCTATCAGCGTTTCAAGGAGGGACAGCTTTGCCTGTACAGGTAGAGAATTTCTGGGAGATCTCAACCTACAAGATTCTCCAGTCTTGTTTCTGTCTCCCGAACTCCATTACCCTTCTTCTTGCCTTCCCAGCTCCTTCTTTTCCTCCCTGCATCCAGAACTTGACTATGGAACTGCCAAGTGATACCAGAAGAGGGATGGTGCATCCTCACAAAATATGCTGAAGGATGTGAGGTGCCACTCTCCATCTTACACTCACACTTCACCATTCCCACAAAGAGTGTTTCTGACAAAATACCAAGATAAGTGGCTTGGTGAAGAGGAAAGCCACAAACATGGTTGAAGCAAAACCACGACCTCGTATTACCTGTGTTTGAACTCTATTTTCCTCCTGATGGTTGAAAAGTTTCTTTAAGGAGAAGGATTCAACTGGACTGGTCGTGACAGAGAGTTGAAATGGAGCACAGTAGAGAGCTGGACCCCTCCACAATCCCTGTGCTCTGCTCAGTAACTCAGATTTGCAGGGGTTTGTAGAGGTGACAGAGACTCTGCGCTACCTGGAGAAAGACACCATGGCAGTGATGCCACGGGGATGTCTGGATGGTGTTTGCACCTTGAGGCTCCTCACTGAGCTTCCCCATAAGAAGTGTGGTCCTCCCATTGACAAGGAATGCCTTTCAGCTGGCTTATGGGAATGAAACTCTTGATCTGGGAAGTTTTTCCATCTGCCACTTGCAAGATAACCACAGAATTTGCACTCTGTCCTTCAGAGCTAATGTAAGGTCTAACCTCATTAGTTTATTAACTGCAGACAAGGAAGAGCCGTTCAACGAAACATAAATAAAACATTACCACGAAATCCCGTGATTCTGTTGAAGCCCAGCAGCCTGCAGTGAAGAGGCCAGAAATAGCACCTAAGAACATGAATTTGGGGTGAAAGAAAAAACAAAGGTGCTTCTCCAAGAGCACGCAGGTCATTAGTCAGCCTCCTCCTTGTACTGCATTGCTTTGCACTCGGCAGCCAAGATCTCTTGGGATGCAGCTGTGATCTTGTCTGTGACAGAGAAGAACACACCCCAGAGATGCCTCTTGGCTTCTGCACACATTTCAGATGCTTTAAAACTACCCTGGACAGCCTGAGGAGGAGGGAAGCAGGCAACCTCCTGGAGAGGAACAAAGGTCCAGACCAAAAGCACAGCATTTCTCCCTCTGTGCTTGTGCTCCCAAAGGCTTTTTCTGCCTTGCCCTTTTACTGTGCTCCTTGTATTGCCCTCAAAGCCAAAATTCCTGGCTGAAGTTCTCTCCTGCCCTTAAAACACACTCCTAAGTGCCATACAGGAATCTGTTTGCAATGCCAAGCAGAAAAACCCTGCGAGACATAAGTCTGGTGGTTCCCTGGCTCACATTCTCTTAGGTTACCTAAATGACAGAGTTTGGCTAACTGGTTTTCTGCTTCCCACAGAGCCTTAAAAATTGAACGCTGAAACGCAGTGAGGAGCATTTACAGGGACCCCGATAACAAGACGTCTGTTTTCATGAAGCTTTCGTTCCTTTCGTAGTGGAAATGAGCTCTTTTGTCACTCCTTTTACAAGTAGTTGAAGTTCAGATGTGCCTCACATTGCCAACAAAGCATGCCAACACCAGAAGTGATGCCTGAAGGGATACTTACAGGACATGAGAATGACAGTCCTACCAAGAGGTTCAGCTCAACCTAGCTGAGGGGTTACATTTGGGCTTACATTTGAGCTTTGCTTTCCTTCAAGTGATAGGAGAGGCACAGAGAACCTGCTTTGTTAATGAAATAAAATACAATTATCAGAGACTTAATATAGCAAAACAATTGTTGCTATTATTATTGCTATAATTTATTCCATTGCAGCACATCTGGAAGTCCAACTGAGTACCACCAGCCAGATAACTTCCAGAGGTCCCTTCTAGCATCAGCCACACAATGATAGGCCTGAATTTGTGTATTTGTACACAAAAAAAAAGTACAGAGCTGAGAACCATCTCTTCCCTGAAGAGTAAGAACAAAGTGCCTGGTCCTGCAAAACACCTGAGCACATCTACCAATGTATTTGCAGAAGATGTTCCCTTAAAGCTCAGCATTAATAACACATATAAACTGGGATGCCTGAGGGTTTGCAGCACATATCTGGGTTGTACCAAGCCAGACCTTTGCTATGGCTCCCATGGCAAGATGGGATGATGAGAACTGGGATGGAGAGAGAGAAAGGGGTAGAAAAGTCATTTATCATTTTTAAATGTCTTTCCTCCTTGTGAAAGTGCAATATCTTGAATTGCATCAGCTTTTGTTTCATAAATTAATCCAAAGAGATCCATATTTCACTTGCAATTATATGGGCTGATTAGACCTTCTCCGATCAGGAGGAGCTCAGGAGTATTGTAAGGGAGCTTTGAAACCAATCAACAACTCTTAATATAGCTGAATATGACAACAGTTAATATGACTGAAGCTGTGACTGTGCCAGGGGTGGTGTTTGGTTTTGTTTGTTGGTTTTGGTTGGTTGTTTGTTCTTTTCTCATGCATTAAGTTTGAAGATTCCCGTGTCAGCTGGGGAAGTCCCACAGAAACAGACATTGATTTGTAAGGGGGAGAGGGAAACCAACCAACTGAACAAGCTGTAATTATTTAAAGATGTAAAAAAATATATATTATTAAGTAGTATGGCTACCAATCCACGTAACGTCTACACCTTTAGAACTAATGGAAATAAAACAATAATAATAAAACCAAAAGGCTGCTGCCTGAATCTTGACTTTCCTGGTGGGCATCCTGGGGGTAACTGATCACATATTCAGTACACCTGGAAAAGCAGTGCTTATTTTAATACATAAGGAGAAAAACAGCCAAGATGTTTTCCATCTTGTAACACCATTATCATGGAGGAAAAAGGATGAGCTCCTGCACTAGGATGGCACCTCAATGCCATCATAATTTATCTTTTTGCTCTTTTCACAGACGTGGGTTTGTGGAGCACAGTGCTAATTCAGTCTAATTGCTTTCAGCTGAGCTCACAGATGCCACCCATAAGCTGAAAGCGCACACAACCCTCATACAATCACCTCCTCTTTCTGGTGGGGGAATTCAGAGCCCTTCCCAGTTCAACCAGTCCCTGGGTCTGGTGTAATTGATGGGGTGGGTGGGGCCAGCACTCGAAACCTCACCCACTTCTCCTTTACCAGCCAGTGGAGGAGCTCTTGCTGTTTATATGTTGGTGGGTGGAAGGGCCTTCTTTCTCTGTAGAAGGATGGTAAGGGGATTTTGGGGCGTAAGGGATAGGGCAGTTTGGCCATGAGAGTGTTGAGAAGTGACTGAAGGCAGGGGAATGGTTCAGGAGCATGAGGTTGAAGAAGCTGGCAATGAAATAGAAAAGAAGGGAGGAGGCTGCTCAGTCTCTGTTGTGTGTGGGGTAATGGCTTGGGGGCTGGGTGCAGTGTTTAGGGCAGGGGGATGTGCAATGGGTGCTTGCTTTGGGGGTCTGCAGTGTGTGTGATGGTGTTGGGTGAATTCCCTGTCCTGTGCTGCTTGACACAAATCCAGTGCCTAGATAATCAGGGTAAAGACCTGAAGGGCATGGTCAGAGCCCTTGGGGTCAAAAGCTGATCCCAGGGATCTGGATTGTTGCTGGCACCTTTAGCAGCAGAAATATCTTCTAGGTGGCTCTTGACCTGTTATTGGCTTTTGCCTGTAGTCTGAATGTGGTATGTAGCTAAATGGAGCTAGGGTGTGATTTAATTACCTCCTGCCCTAGGAAGCGTGGGGATTAAGCTCAGTCTTCTATTGCTGCTAAAGCAATTATGTTTGTATAACCAGTTAATACCTTTTTATTTCATGTCTTAGATCCGGATAATGTTCTCTGACATACATCATCTCTTGGAGCTTTTCCTCAAAGGCTTTGGCTCATTGCAGCATGTGAAGGCTTTATAGCTGCGTTGCCTTGCCCAGCCCTATTGAGGGTGCATCCCTACCCCACTGCAGCTCACCACCCTGTGTAGGTGGCTGCTGGCTTCTGCCTCCTATGGGCTGGGAGCTCCAGTGGGTGAGGATGTCTCCTTGCTCAAGCAGAAGATGAGTTGGAGGGCTAGGGCTGAAGTAGGCCCTACTGAAAGTCTGGTTTCAATTGCTGTGAGCTGATGCGAGTGTGGGCTGTTGCTTCCTTGTGTTTTCTTGCTCTTTTTCTGAGCTGTAAGTTTTCCCTCAGCTCTAGGGCACCAAGTGTGAGAAGGACCTGCTATTTAGCTGGTAGAGATGCCAGAGGGCCCATCAGTGAGGAAGTTCCAGCTGCTGACCTCACCTTTTGTGGGGCAAGTGGTGGCCAAGGTGGGGGGAAGCAGCAAGAAGATTAATGTGAATGACCTGAATGCCTTGAGGCTCCAGGATTCCCAGGTGAGCTGTGCTGAAGATGACCTGTGGCAGGTCTGAGAGGGAAGCCACAGCTACCCTGCATCTGTGTCACAGAAGGTGCATGGCCTGAGAGTGGCACCAGGGTTGTGTGTGAGACTGTCGTGGAAGGCTTATAGAAGATGAGTTGGTTTATTCAGTATGTGAATGTCAAGAAGAGCAGCAGGCTTGTTCCTTTCAGCTGTGAGCTTGCACAGATGCACCCATTAGACCAGAAAGCCAGGTTTTACTTGGCTAGGTGGATGCCAATGCTGTAGGTACCTGTAACTATCTAAGTCACACTAGCCTCCCCTCAAACTGCATTGTGGTTCCGACTGTGGGCACAGCTGTGAGTTGTTCAAGCCACTTGTGGTTGGTCTGAGTGTGTCTGTGTGTCTGCCCTGACATCTCTTTGTCCTGCCAGAAGCCTCCAGAGTAGCATCTGAACAGTGATCCTCAGTGCATCCCACTTTTCTTCCTCCTCAGGTCCATGGGAAGAACTTATTCCTAGCATTTGTGGCAGCCAGCTCTACCTTAGGACCAAGTGTGGAAGAGACAGAGCTGCAAAAACAGGCTGCCACAGGCTCTAGTTCCCTTGTTCAGGGAAAGCAAGAGCAGGTTTGTGCTCTATTGACTCCTCCCCAGGAAGAAGAGCTGCAGGAATTGCAGAACTCCAGACCTGGCGCTCCAAGTGCAACAGGGGGTCCAGGCAGTTGGCTGTGCTTCCACTTTGGTTTGTTTGGCAGCATTCGGGCAAACGAGTTCTCTAGAGCAAGCAGAGCCAATAAGAGGGGGGACTGGAAGGACCCTATACCCAGGTACTTGGCAGAGTCCTCTTACAAAGGTTCTTCCATCATTCTGGAGAGGCAATGTTCTGTCTCAGTCTAAATTGCTGTGGAAATGCTTTCAGTCCTCTCCTTTCCCCTCAGTGTTAAAAGCAAGCATAAGTGGTGATATTGTGTCTTCACAATAGATGGGAGGTGTGTTCAACCAGGGAGTCAGCATTGGTTGGTTTGCCATGGACATACTTCATTGTCTTGGTGTTGTGTGTTGCATCCTTAGTGAGAAGTTTTCTGCCCTTTGCCTTCTGACTCCTCCCAGCTTCCACATCTGACTATTAGACTCATTAGATTATTATTATTATTATATTGGATAATCATTGGATTAATAGCATGCATCTAGGGTATTTGAGACAACAGTGAAGATACCATTGTAGGAGCCTAGATCACAGGTGGTGTATTAAGAGCCACTGAAAATGTATTAAGGGGTAAATACTGAAGGACAGTGTGGACCCAGCTCTTATGAACTGTTTAATTTGAGGTTGTGGAGTCTCCTCCTCTGCAGATGTTCAAAATCTATTTGTATGTCTTCCCATGCAACTGGTTGTAGGGAACTTCTCTCTGCCTGCTGCTGTTTTTAGAACCTACAGGGCAGCAGGAGGGATAACTGTCTATGAGATGTGCATATTTAGAACCTAAAAGCTAAACTGCATTCTCTGCACTTTCCATTCTTTGCAAGTCTCTTCAGCTAAACCAGAATTCAGCAAGTGGGTCAGGGTGTTTGTGGCTAGTGATCTCACTCGCCTCCTCTGCGTCTCTCAGGCTGGTGCTGTATTTTGAGAGTGGAGGCTTCCTTGTTTTCTACAACTGCCGAATGTACTGGTGCTCATCTCCGCTGGCTGATCCCACTTCTGACATCCTGTCTGCAGAGTTCCACCGTGGTCGGGCACTGGATGCCCTCTGCACATCCCATCCCATCTGCTACACCCTCTTGGACCAGAGATACTTCTCAGGGTTGGGTGAGCTCCGGAGCATGGTGGCAAAGCAAGAAAGAGGAGGGTGGGATGCCTGCACCCAGATCTACGTGTTAGAGCTTCTACTCTTTAAGGTTATGATGTTGGGTTGATCCAGCTGAGAGGATATGTGGTCATCTTGGTGAGGAGAGGGCTTGCAATCTCTAGCTGCAAGCTTCAGATACTTGAGTGCAGCCTTTGTGTGCCGTGAACTGTCTTAGCATGGGTGGTTGGTACTTGGAAGAGAAAGATCCACTTGAAGCCTGGTGGGAAGAGACTATCCTCCAGTTTATGCCCAGCTGAAGGTTTACTTCTTGTAAGCTACCTCTGATACAGGGAATGGCATTGCAAGGTGTGGTCGATCAGGCTGAAATCACAGTGGCCGGAGATATGGGCATGTGTCATCTTGAACAGAAATCTCCTTATGATCTCCTTATTTCTGACCCTTTGCAGGGAACATCATTAAAAATGAAGTCCTGTACCTGGTGAAGATCCATCCATTAACACAAGGATCTCTCTTGGCGCAATCAGATCTGGAGCACCTGCTTGATTGTGCCATTCAGTTCACCTCCGACTGGCTGCAGAGCAAGCTGCAAGGCAAAGGGCTGCACCTGCAGATCTACCAGAAGGAGCAATGTCCTCTTGGGCACGTGGTGATGAAAGGAGCCCTAGGACCCCCAGGTGGCTGGAAAAGGCTTACATGGTGGTGTCCTCAGTGCCAACCTGCAGTGCTGTCAGGGGATGGGGATCTGACCCTGGGTACTGAGTGACATGGGTCACTTTCCTTGTGTAGTTCAGCATTAGATGATCCTGTGTCTGCTTAGAGCTGAGTGTGTGTTATGTAGTGGATCGGGTGTGATTAAAATTAAATGGTTGTTCCCTCCATCAGCTCTCAGCAGCTTCTTTCCAAAGGATGAAAACAAACCTCAGCAGTGCTTGGTGCTGCTCATCTCTGCCCACCTCTGAGCTGCCTGCCCCGTTGGGCAGTGCTTATTAGAGCCCATCATTAAGTCATGAATCAGAAGTACAGTGACTCCGGGGGTGTCGATGTGTGACAGGGAGTGCGTCAAACTCATCATCTCAGACGTAGGGTTTGGATTTTGGGTGGCCCAGGGGTTGGGCTGCTCTGTGGGGCTGCTGGCTGGAAGCGAGCACGGAGGGAATGCACTGTGGGTGACTGAAACCAAGCAGAAGCACTTCAGCTCTAGTTGAGAGCGAAGCAAGGAGCTTGGGGGCATCCCGTGTCCCCGGGATGGCCGTGAGGATGCTTCAAGAGAGGCGGGGCAGCCATTGTGAAGCCCCGCCCTTCGCCCACTCAGGGCGGCCACGCGAGTGCCGGTGGGCGCCGTCAAACCAATCAGCGCCGCCCGCCGGCCGTCACACCAGCTCCGCCGCGCTCCTATTGGCTGGCGCAAGGCTGGTGCGAGGACACGTCTCCCAATGGGCTCGCCTCACGCTCACCGAGCCATGGGACAAGCGAGCTGATTGGCGGAGGGGGCGGAGCGGCCCCGCCCACCGGCTGTTAAGCGGCGGTTTGAGGTGGCGGGAGGAGGAAGAGGTGGGGGGGGGGGAGCGCGTCGGGAGCGCGCGGAGGGAGAGCGCGTGTGGTGGCGGTGCGGCCGTCATGGAGCTGCTGAGGAAATGGCTGGGGCACCCCGAGGACATCTACCACCTGCTGCGCTTCAAGATGGGCGGCTACCGGGCCGTCATGCCGCGAATGGACCCGGTGAGCGGCGGGGGGGTGGCTGAGGCGGGTGTCACCTCGCGGGGAGGGGGCGGTTGCTGTGAGCATCGCCTGACGTAGTGCTGAGCAGCTGCTTCCTGCTGCCGTGCGTTGCACCGGGTCGGGTTGTGCACGAGTTCCGAGCATTGCGCTGCTTCGGAGCATCGCACGGCTTGGACGTTGCGTTGTGCATCGCGTCTCTTTGGGACGTCACACAGCCGCGGTGCTTTGCAGCAGCTTCCTGCTTCTAGCTGTGCGTGCGTTGCGCAGCCGGGGTGCTTTGCATGTATCACAGCTGCTAGGAGCATTGCACAGCTGGGATGCTTTGCATGCATCACAGCTGCTGGGAGCACTGCACAGTCGGGGTGCTTTGCATGCATCGCAACTGCTGGGAGCACTGCACAGCTGGGATGCTTTGCATGCATCACAGCTGCTGGGAGCATCGTACAGCCAGGATGCTTTGTATGCATCGCAACTGCTGTGAGCACTGCACAGTCGGGGTGCTTTGCATGCATCACAGCTGCTGGGAGCACTGCATAGCCGGGGTAGTTTGCATGTATCGCAACTGCTAGGAGCACTGCACAGCTGGGATGCTTTGCATGTATCACAGCTGCTGGGAGCACTGCACAGTCGGGGTGCTTTGCATGTATCACAGCTGCTGGGAGCATCGCACAGCCGGGGTGCCTCTCAGCAGCATCCTATGTGCTGTATCAGCGCTGACACCGCACGGCTTTGCAGCACCGTGCAGCTTCCCATGCGTTTGCACGGGCTCTGCTCTCCCCGTGCATCGCACGGCCGCCGTGCTTTGCACGCATGGCGGTGCTGGCAGGGGGCGCGCCGTTCTTAGGGGCCGGTCTCGGGGCGGAGCCCCCTATCTCGGCCTGCCCCCCCCCTGCACACCCCCCCGCCGTGCCCATGGCGGCCAGCAGCAAGGCCACGGCTCTGCTAAAGCGCACGTTGGCTCTGTCTCCCCCTCGGGGCGCTCCCCGGACGGCTTTAGGGCGGCTGCGGGGCGGAGGGCGGCGGGGACAGCGCAGCGCTGCCGCCTCCTTCGGGCTCCCTCCGGCCGCTCGCCTTCAGCCCCCCCCGTTGTGCCCCCCGTTGTGCCCTCAGGACTCGCTGGGACTCGGGCTCCGCACCTGTTACCGCTACCTCAACCAGACCAGCCGTAGTTTCGCCGCCGTCATCCAGGCGCTGGATGGAGAGCTGCGGTGAGTGGGGTTGGGGGGGTGGTTTGTGCGATGCCCCCGTTGATGGTCGAGGGGGGGGTCTGCGGTGCTCCGGTGCGCTGGGGTTGTGATAGTAGGAGGGGTCCATGCTGTGTCCCCAGGTGCTGGGGCGGCGTGGCTGAGCAGATCTGGGTGTCTGTGCGATGTCTGCATGCGCTGGGGCAGCAAGCATGGATCGTGTAATAGTAGTGAGGATGTTGAGTTGGGATAGCTGTGGAGTTTGTTCAATGCCCTACAAGTGCTGTGGCTGCTTGTTTGGGATGGCAGGAGGTGGCTATGCTGTGTCCCAGGCTTTGTGGCTGCTTGGTTTGCATGGCAGGAGGTGGCTATGCTGTGTCCCAGGCTTTGGGACTGCTTGATTGGGATGGCAGGAGGTGCCCATGCAGTATCCCCAGGCATCAGGGCTCCCTGTCTGAGCTGGTTGAGGGTCTGTGCAATGCCCCTGAGTACTGGGGGTGCTTGATTGAGCTGAGCAGAGGGTGTTGAGTCCATACAGTGCCCCCAGGTTCTAAGGCTGCTGGCTTGGGATGGCCGGAGTGTCCATGCAAGTGTCTTGGGCATCAGGACTAATTGGATGAATTGGGTGGGATGTGTCCATGCTACACTCCTTGACTGAGCCGCTGGGAAGTGCTCTACCACACTGAGCAAAGCTTTCCAGGGGGTGCTCAGTGCAGCCCTACTACGTGCAGCAAGACATGTGCGTTATCCCAGCAGAGTTGCTCAAGCATGATGCCTCCATTCTGCTCCCTACCAGCAGCAGAGCTCCTGTGTTCTTCAGCCTGAGCGTTGCAAGCTCTCAGCCAGCAGATGGTTAAATGCAGCACTGGGCAGCGTGCTGTTTGTGACACCCTGGGAATGTGTGTCCTGGCAGCTTCGGGAGCTGCCTTTGGGTGCCTTGCTGGCTGCGAGGGGTGGAGAAGCATGGTGGGAAGCAGCAAACAAAACAAGGGGTCTGAACCCTGCAGGAAGGGTGCGTGTGGGATCAGCTGCCTCTAAAGCTTCATCTGAGGGTTCATCAGAATCTTGCTCTGTGCTCACTTTTGCTTTACAAGTTTTGATAACCTATGCAGGAAAGCTTCACGTGGTAATAATAGCAGATGATGCAAGACTCAACTTGCCTTGAGAATTTTGTACATACGCATGCACACTTTCCCTATTTCCTTATATTCTTACAGAAATGGCTATTTTCAGTACAGATCTTTTTCCATTTAATCCCAAGCCAGGTCAGCAGTTAAAGCTAGAGGTTGCTGTAGGTTTCACTCTGTGCTTGCAGCTGAACAGCTTTGCATAGTGACAGTTCTAACACTGTGCTGTCTGTGGGTTTTCCAGCCCTGGGCTGGTATTTTGGACGCTGACCCATAGTTATATCCAGCATTTGTGAAGTGTCTGCAGGCTGTTTTGCAGGAAGGCAAAGAAACACAGTGGTTTGGCTCAGATTGCATGGAAAGGCATGAGCAGAGCCAGGAACTGAACTTCTTTTTCTCCTTGCTTGCTGTATCTGCTAATACAGATATTTAGATACCAAGCAGTAACACACCTTGCAACCCATTCCCTGTGTCTGTATGCAATGTGCTTTCCTCGGTCATCCCATTTTTATCTTCCCTGTCTGTCTTCCTTCTCTTTAATCCTTGTATTGTAGCTTACTGGGATCAGGAAGGCTCCTTATCCTGAGGGCTCAGAAACTCCATGCCTGGCATCCTAAAAATGTTGTTGCTGGGTATTTGCAACCTACATGAAGGGATTGTTGCTGAATTCAAGGCTGGATGTGGCTCTGGGCAGCCTGGTCTGCTGGTTGGCGACCTGCACATAGCAGGGGGTTGAAACTGGATGATCATTGTGGTCCTTTTCAACCCAGAACCATTCTGTGATTCTATGATTCTGAATTGCAGCTGGCTCTATGGAGAAATAAATTATCAAGGTACAGTAGTTTCACTTCCAGAGTTTTTGAGGCAAGAGAGGGGGAATAGGAAGGTTGTGATTTATGGGGCTTGAGCCTGGTTGGAATAGCAAGGCTACCCAAGGAATTGATTTTGGTAGCTCAGGTCAGAGGAGCGCTGAGTCATAACAAGAGTAAAACTGGCTCATAGCAGAGTTACAGTGCTTCCTCTGAGGACATCATAAAACAGAGCTTCTGGGAAAGTGCTTGGAGTGATGCTCCCCAGGTTCAGGTACTGCGAGCTGGCCTAGAAGGCATTGGTGTCCTCTTGCTTAGTTTCTTTTTGGCTGAATAAATCTTGTGCCACATGGGCCATAGAATTATGTCATAGAACCATAGAATGGCCTGTGTTGAAAAGGACGGCAATGATCATCTAGTTTCAATCCCCCTGCTATATGCAGGGTCTCCATGACCTTATGCAGCCCATTTCTCCATGGCTGGGACCGTTTTTTGGGAAGTGGGAGGCTCAAAACTTTGATTTCATCACCAGCTGAGCCAGCATTGTTGCTTATGGTGGTGGGAAGAGGAGAGAGAGGCTGCCTGGTTCCTCTGTTCCCATTCTCTGGGATGGATGCTGCAGGTTCCTGTGCTCTGCAGAGAAAGGAGACTTTATCTGGGGATAAGAGAGCTGCAGCTAGGACAGAAATGGAGAAACAGAATCATTGGATTTCCCAAGTTGGAAGGAACACACACGGATCATTGAGTCCAACTCCTGGCTGCACACAGGACCCATCCCAGGTGCAGAAGTCAAGCTCCAGCCCCAGGCTGAGGTCAGCCTCGCTCTACAGAAGTGATCACTTCTTATTTGTGAAGAGGAGGTGGTGCTGCTCCTCTTCCCAGCACTGCTGTGTGCTTTTTGGCAAGGATGACACTGCATTGTTGGCTTTGGCCCCTCACATCAGCCTCGGTCTAGAGTTGCTTTCACCTAGTAATGAGTGCTTAAGCAATCCCAGCTCATTTCCATTTGTCAATCAATTAATAAGTACATCACCCCTTTGGAAATTCACTGTGCTCATTACGAGCTAGGGGATCATTTTACATACATCCAGTGTTTCTCATTGTCAGGAAAGCTTTCTGTGCTTCTTTTTACAGCAGTACCCTTGCTGGTGTGCTGGAGCACCTCTCCTATGAGGAAAGGTTGAGGGAACTGGGCTTGTTTATCTTAGAGAAGAGAAGGCTCTGGGGAGACCTCATTGTGGCCTTCCAGTACTTGAAGGGAGCATAGAAACAGGAGGGGGAACGGCTGTTTACAAGGGTGGATAGTGATAGGACAAGGGGGAATGGTTTTAAGCTGAGACAGGGGAGGTTTAGGTTAGATATTAAGAGGAAATTTTTCACCCATAGGGTGGTGAGGCACTGGAACAGGTTGCCCAAGGAGGTTGTGGATGCCCCATCCCTGCAGGCATTCAAGGCCAGGCTGGATGTGGCTCTGGGCAGCCTGGGCTGCTGGTTGGCAACCCTGCAGATAGCAGGGGGTTGAAACTAGATGATCATTGCCGTCCTTTTCAACCCAGGCCATTCTATGATTCTATGAAGCCATGCTTTTCACCTTTAACCTGCCCTTATTGCCCTGGATTTGAGCAACTCATTCTAAGGCATTTTATTCTTACCTTCTTGAATGACCCAAGATAAGCACTGTCCTCACATCAGTGCTGGAGGGGGGATTGGACATGAGCATCCAAATGCTGTGTGATGAATCTTATCTGTGTTTCCTGTGTAACAGAGTGATTGTTTTTTCTCTCCCCACAGGCATGCTGTCTGTATATTTTACCTAGTTCTCCGTGCCCTGGACACCATAGAGGATGATATGACCATCAGCTTAGACGTAAAGGTCCCGATGCTGATTGAGTTTCACTCTTATCTCTATCAACCAGAGTGGAAATACATGGAGAGCAAGGAGAAGCACCGGCAGGTGCTGGAGGACTTCCCAACGGTAAGACACCCACCTCCTCCTTCAACTGCCTGGGTTGCTTTGCATGCAGCCATCTCCATGTTGCACATGGTTCTGTAGCTCTTAGGAAGGAGGAGGACACATCACCTGCGTGTGGGGCTGGAGGGCAGAACCCTCACCCTTTCTGTGCTGCTTTATGCTTTTCCTCCTGTGCAAAGGGCACCTGTGTGCTTTGCAGAGCCAAAGCTGGAGCAGGCTTAGGAGAACAGCACCAGGAACTTTTTCGCACAGTGGGTGGTGATGCACTGGAACAGGTTGCCCAAGGAGGTTGTGGATGCCCCATCCCTGCAGGCATTCAAGGCCAGGCTGGATGTGGCTCTGGGCAGCCTGGTCTGCTGGTTGGTGACCCTGCACAGAGCAGGGGGGTTGAAACCAGATGATCATTGTGGTCCTTTGCAACCCAGGCCATTCTATGATTCTATGAACTTCTTACCTTCCCTATCGTCAGCACAACATGGTGTTCTCATAAATTAGAAGAAATTTTGTGTGCCAGGTGTAGCTAGTTTTGTCCTGTAACTCCCAGATTATACCAGTCCAAGGCCACAGAGCCTTTCCAAAGATACTGTTGTGTCTGATGTGCTGCCAGAGATTGTAACGTTTAGATTGAGAACAGACTGAGCCTGTGCTTTGAGGGCCTTGAAACAACTCTCCTTGTGGGAGTTTTGCTGGATCTCTAGCCAGGGATGAGAGCCTGGTAAACAAGTCTTACTCTTGTCTTCTAATAAATGGTGAACTCTGATGTTGTTGTTTTGTTTTTTTTTTTTTGTTCTTCACACTGTCTTTATTTCCTGTTGTTTGTACGTGATACAGATCTCCATGGAGTTTAGGAATCTGGCAAAGGTCTACCAGGATGTGATTTCTGATATTTGTCACAAGATGGGTGTTGGGATGGCGGAGTTCTTGGAAAAGAAGGTGGATTCTCAGAGTGAATGGGATCGGGTAAGTCTATCCAGACACAATGAATGACAGTAGGAGTCATTCATACAGTCATAAAGTGAGTCAGTGGGAGACCCCAAGAAGGCGGGGTTTCAGTTACCTGTGAGGAGCAGGGCTGGCCATTCCATCTCTTCCTACGTGATATTCATATTCAGGAGCCTTTTCCTGAAATCCAGCATCTTTCGTGTCCGTGTCTGTAGGGAAAGGGCATTCCTGGTTGAAGTGAGTTCAGCAGGGGGAGGGAGGCTGTGTGGGCTTGGAGAGAGTGGAGCTGCTGGTCCTGTGGATAACAGGAGGGTATGGTGTAGCCCACCAGCACCTGTTTTGGGTGACCCAACATGTCAGCTGTTCCCTTGTGGGCAGTCCATTTGGTGCTGAAAGCAGAGTAATACCAGCAGTCACTGACATGGCAGAGGTCTTCCTTGGCAAAGTGTTTGCTGAGTACAGAAAGGCTGAGATGGAGCAAGGAGGGCCATGCAAACTTGCAGAAAACATAGTGTGAATTACCTCCTGAGCGTCACTTTTGTGAAACATGCTGTGCTAAGTAGGCAGCTCTTAGTAATTGCTCGTTTTATCTTGTGTTTTTTTTCCTGCCCTTTACCCTCCTGGTGCCTCACAGTACTGCCACTACGTTGCTGGGCTGGTGGGGATAGGCCTTTCCAGACTCTTCTCTGCATCAGAGCTAGAAGATCCTATTGTAGGACAGGACACAGAGCTAGCAAACTCCATGGGCCTCTTCCTGCAAAAAACCAACATCATACGTGACTATCTAGAAGACCAGCTGGAAGGAAGGGAGTTCTGGCCCAGAGAGGTAAGGGAAAACATTGCCTTTGGGGTGAGCATGTCTGCTGTGCTTCTCGAAATGCTTGTACTGTGCTAAAACAGACTGAAAGTGCTCTTGTTGCTGCTCTGATAGTGGATTACAGCTTCTCCTTGTAAGAGTTCCTTCAAAAATTGTCTTGAAAATCCCCATGGCTGGGGTTTTTCCATCACTGATAATTTTGTTCCTGTCCTTTTATAATCTATTGTACTTCTGTCCAAGATCTGTTGTGGGTGTAGCCAATGAGCCATGCTTTCCAGGACACGTGTCTCACAAATGCTCTGCAGGGTGCATAGTTTAAGGTGCACTGCTAAAATTATAGCATCCCTTGTGTCTCTTTAAATCAAAGTTAACGGGGAAGGTTTGACAGTCTACAGGTCTGTCTGATAGAGCATTTTGTGATACCAGCCTGGCACATGAGCTGTATTTCTTTGCCCTGCCTAGAGAAGACATGATGGTGCACCCTTTTACCTCACAGAATCACTGAATGGCCTGGGTTGAAAAGGATGACAATGCTCATCCAGTTCCAACCCCCTGCTATGTGCAGGTCGCCAACCAGCAGACCAGGCTGCCCAGAGCCACATCCAGCCTGGCCTTGAATGCCTGCAGGGATGGGGCATCCACAGCCTCCTTGGGCAACCTGTTCCAGTGCCTCACCACCCTCTAGGTGAAAAACTCCCCCCTGATATCTAGCCTAAACCTCCCCTGTCTCAGTTTAAAACCATTCCCCATCTACATGAAGGTCCCCATCTATATGAAAGTCATTGTCATGTTTCCAGAGCCCTTCCTTTAGCCTACTAAGTCCCAGTCTTTCTAGGCTCTTCTGATTATTCTTGGTTCTCTAGACCTCTCACTGTAACTGATGTCGCCTTTATGATATGAATGTACCCTCCAACTTCTGAGTCCTTATTTTGCTGTTTAGGTTTGGAGCAGATACACAAAGAAGCTCTCTGACCTTACCAAGCCAGAGAACATAGATATGGCTGTCCAGTGTCTGAATGAGCTCATCACCAATGCTCTCCGCCATGTCCCTGATGTCCTCACTTACTTGTCTCGCCTGAAAAACCAAAGTGTCTTCAACTTCTGTGCTATCCCCCAGGTAGGTTATTACATACAAGTGGTTATTCATTATCTGCAGCCCAGATGATCTGAAGTTGGAGGTGGGAGGGTTATGTAGCATGTAATAGCCTGTATTATGCTGGTACCTGCCATTTCTGCTGTAGGTGACATTGCAGCTTCACTCCAGAGTATTTTGCCAGTGATGTCACTAGGACCAAGGTTATTTCTGGAACAGCACTGGAACAGGTTGTCCAAGAAGGTTGTGGATGCCCCATCCCTGCAGGCATTCAAGGCCAGGCTGGATTTGGCTCTGGGCAGCCTGGTCTGCTGGTTGGCAACCCTGCACATAGCAGGGGGTTGAAACTATATGATGATTATGGTCATTTTCAACCCAGGCCATTCTATGATTCTATTGCCTTTGCAATCTGCTTGTAATAAGTGCTCTTTGTGTTTCTCCTTAGGTGATGGCCATTGCCACTCTTGCTGCCTGCTATAATAACAAGCAGGTGTTCAGAGGGGTAGTGAAGATCCGGAAGGGACAAGCTGTCACTCTGATGATGGATGCTACAAACATGCAATCTGTCAAAGCCATCATGTACCAGTATGTGGAAGAGGTAGGTTGAACAGCTTGCTTGGAATTGTTTCTGGCTGTTGTTTTCTCATTCCTGGTGTGGAATTGGCTGTCCCTTGCAGTCCCATGAATCTATTAATCTTTTCATTACATTTCTATTAGTGCCAGGACACCTGACGTGGTATTGGCATTGGCCAAACTAGTTGCTTGGTCCTTTAAACATACCCTTGGTCTGTGCCTGTGCAAAGAGGCAGAGACCAACATCTTGTCTTGATTCTGATTGAGAGTAAGATGAGTCAGCTTTCAGAGCACCAGAGCTTCCCATCTGACTAGGCAAGAGAACTGTTCCAGCAGCACTTTTCTTCTAAACAGGTTGCATCATCTCCCCAAAGACAGCTCTGCAGCTAGTGCTCTTGTTTTCACCGTGTCCATAGTTGCAGCTAATGTGCAGTTTGTGTTTGCACTTTGTGGCCAGCATTAACTAAGGCTGGCTCTTTGCAGGTATTTAAAGCAGCAGAACTCATGGCTTCAAGGTACTGTGGGTATTAAAAGTTTATAGAGAAGAACAGCTAATGAGTGGATTCATGGGATTCAGTGGATTCATGGATTCAGGGGGGAGTGTTTATAAAAGGATTCATGCATCAGGGAGACCCCAAACCATGGACTGTTAGAGCTCCCTTTGGAGGCAGACCACCCCCATGACAACGGGGTTTTCCAACCCCAAGACCATGGTGTTTTTCAGTTGAGATAACTGTCTGCAGTCACACCAGCTGCTGATCACCCTGGGGGTGTCCTTGCTGATTTAGGTGAGCTGCAGCCCAGCAGCAGTGAGTGAGGCTTGCTGGGCCAGAGCTGCTTGCCCCAGAACAGCGCTTTGTGGCTGATGTTTGTGTCAGAGGCGTGGTAGTCCATCTCTCATCATGGGGTGCCCTCAAGAGGCTGCCTGGCTTAATGCACTTCTCAAGGGAAATGGACTTTGGTCCCATGCAGCAGCTGAGCCATCCACCATGAGGTTACTCTTGAGGACGTAGTGCTTGTGACCCACGAAGCTCCCTCTTCCACGCAGGAATCCCACTTATCTCCTCAACCACGTGTATAAACTGCACTCCCTCTTTCCCTCTCCCCAGATCTACCAGAAGATCCCCAGCACAGACCCTTCATCCAACAAGACGCAGCAGATCATCGCCTCCATCCGTGCCATGAGCCTGCCCAGCGGCCCCATGGCCTCACGCCATCACTATTCCCCCATCTACCTGTCCTGTGCCATGCTCCTGGCTGCCCTGAGCTGGCAGTACCTCAGCACCATCTCTAAAGCCACTGAAGAGTACGTCCAGGCGGGTGAGAACTGAAGAGCAGGCAGGTGGCAGGAGTGAGATGGTCAGTAGATGGGCAGCAGAGGCTCCTTGTCCCCTGGTGGTGGGGATGGCCGGGTGCCACCGGGTCCATGGGCAATGATGAGGATGGGATGCTGGTGGGTTGGAGCATCGGGGTGATGGTGTGGCATTGTCAGACCCCGCTCCTCCCCTCTCCTTCTGTCTGCACAGGTGGTTACAAATGCCAGTTGGAGTCTTAACTGTTTGGGGTTGAATTTTTTTTCCTCCTTTCCTGTTGGATAGTTTACCTAATTATCATTATTACTATTCTTATTTTGGTTAGGATGGTTTAAATAGAAATTTCAATTGCCTCTTTTCTTGCTTGAGATTTGAGACCCCTTTCCAGCTCAGAACTGGGATGGGAGCCTTTGGGTTCTACCTCCCTTACATAACCCCTTCCCCATCACTTCAACACTGGAAGCATATGGAGGGCTCTGGATTCAGCAAGGAGGGACAAGTCTTAAAAGGTCTGGTCGTCTTCTGGCCACCAACCCAGGCTGGGTGACATCCTGCAGCCTGGAAATGGGCAGGGGCAATCTTCACTTTTGTGTTGTACTGGAAGAGGCTGCTAGGCTTAAAACAAGCCCTTTTGTTGTTAAGTATGTTGGAGATGTTAACATGCATGCTGCTGAAAGCCATCTGTTGCATCTCCTGAGGGGTGGTGAAAGGGAGGGGGAAAGAGTACCACCTACCCTCTGCTGCAAAGTCTGGACTCTGCATTTCTTCAGCCCAAGGGGAGGGGTGGCCTGGGCAAGCTTCCTCAGCCCAGGGATTCAGCTGGGAATGCTTAAGGTTCTGCTGACACATGAACTGGAAGAGTTCTCCACTGCTCCTTTGAAAACACATCAACCTGGACTTCGAGTGGGCCAGGTTTCTAATGTGAACAACCAGGGCTGAGAAGAGGAGACAGCTATTTCAAGTCCCGTTTTCCTGGAGTGTAATTGTTTTCAGCATCCCTAATCCTCTACTGCTGCTTTGTGTGATGGGGGGACAGCCTGGTATAGGACAGAGCAAAATCTACCAGGTAGTTCAGTGGCCTTTGCAAGGCCAAGCTTGTGTGGCCAGACTGTTACTTGGAGAGAGGATCCCTACTCTACAAGGACTGCTGTAGATAGTTTTAAGCTGTTGTTCAAAAGAACTTGTGGTAGCTCCCTTTGTGCAGCTTCCTGTCTTGTTGAAATTAAACTTTTCTTTGGAAAGAAAAAACGTGAAGCAATGTTGTTGTTTTTTTTTCAGCTGTTCTTTCTTTTATTGTGGTATTTCCTTGCCATACCACAAGCTCTAGTCCTCAGCTCAGCTGAGTGTGGATGCTTCCTAACTCACACTGCATTTCTGTGTTGGGACTGGAGGTGTCCTGTTGGCTGCAGCCACCCTGTCCCCAGCACAGCCAGAGCAAGCACAGCCTGCACTCACATGAAGACATGCATGAAAGGGTCACACCTGGCTTCCACGACAGCAAAGCAACGAGAAGAGTCATAGAATGGCCTCGGTTGAAAAGGGCCATAATGATCATCTTGTCTCAACCCCCCTGCTATGTACAGTTTGATGTTGTTTCAGCTCACGAAGCAGAAGTGACCACAAGGTGTTGGAGAAATCATTTATTGGCACAGTTGTTTCATTCAGATACACGGAAGTTCTGTTTCAATGAGTAAGCAGAGGGATGGGGCTATTTTACAGTACAAGGGGAGAGCCTGCTTCACTCATGTCAGCCTTGTGGCCTTAGCTCACCGATATGCTCTGTGCTTTAAGAGAAAATAAAAAGCTCTTTCATTACGTTAGCACTGGCAGATCACACGATTCCTCCTACAGTTATTACACCTCCCACCCCCCCAGTAAAAGAAAAAATAAGGTTATTTCTTCCTTGATACTTGTGGCTCAAAGAAAGCTTTAGAGGTGTGCAAATTAGCAAGATACCTGCAAGCATCTGCATGAGCTCCCTGCAGCAGAGCTGGGGAACACCGCTCATTTTGAACCCAACATTCAGGGTCTGCAGTCCCAAAGCACCACACCAACATGCTAAAGCAGCACCCTTGCCAAGGCATGACCCAAAGCACAACCAAGCTGCCTTTGACAGAAGCAGCTTCCCCTTTCTAGTTCCCAAGTGCTGCAGGACATTTGATCAAAGGCTCATGGAGCTCAGGCCAGGCCCTTCCCTAGGATCAATAACCCCAGACTACAGCAGAAAGAAAAAAAAAAAAAATGTTAAAAAAGAAAATGAGTGGTTTAAAAAAGCAGCCAAAATAATGGAGCAGAGTGAGCAATGCACAAAGGACTTATTACAGGCAGGAGGGGCTCTATGCAGCTCCAGCCAGAGCCAGCCCCACATCAGGTTCTTCAGTTTCTTGTCATTACCAAGTCCTAACCCATCCAGCAAGGCACAAGCTCTCTTGCACACCCTGCTCCTTTCGGGTGCCAACAGCAGCTGGACCAGCCCAGCCACAAGTGCACAAGCCATGCATGGACACAACCTGCATTTCCCATCTCTGCTGCCCTGCTAAGTCCCTGTTTCCAGCACAATGATTTACATCCTCCCAGTAATACAACAGGCTGGAAGGGTTTCAGGATACCCAAAAACCACAGCACATGGGGGTCAGAGAGCCTTCCAGCAGTCCTCTGAGCACGGAATGCCCTCCAGCTGCGACCCACCAGGAGCAGAGGGCTTGCAGACAGCAGCTCACACCAATACAGAACCTGCCTCCTCCAGCTCCACCGTACAACTAAAACCAGAACGAAATAAAAAGATAAAAAGCTTTAATTAAAGGAACCTCAACTATAGTCTCTTAAGAATGAGGGCTCTGCGCCCAACCCGCTATCAGTTAAAAGCGTCAGGGACTTGGGATTATTTGTGGTGTGATCAACTCATCGGCAGTGATGCAGGAGGATGGTTACACCCTCGTCCAGTATTGCTCCGTCCTGGGGACGCCAGCCACGATCTCAGACTCAATGCCACAATGGTCCTCTCCTCGGAGGATTTTGAAGAAGCCTGGAAGGACACCATGGAAAGAAGTCACCTCCCTCTGCACCAAACACCCAAGGAAACCCTCCAGCACCAACAGCTCTGTGCTCCTCACCGTTATCTCCCCAGTCGGTGTTCCAGGAGTTGGCAGCCAACCAGTATGGGGTCCCATTCTCAACGCCCCAGCCCAGGATCCGGATGGCGTGGCCTCCAACCTGCTCCCCTGACACGTGCTGGTACACCCCTGCAAGGCAACACGTCAATGGCCTTCTGCTGTACAGCACCAATGGCTTCCAAGGGATTCTATACAGAACCCCAGAGACCTGATGAGAAAGTGGGGTCTTTCTGTTAAACGCACTCAAACAAATAGCTTAAAAATGGAATAAAGGAGAGTCTGGAAACACTGGCACAGGTTGTCCTGTGAGGTGGTGGTGTCCCATCCCTGCAGACAGCCAAGGTCAGGCTGGATGGGCTGTGAGTACTGATGGAGCTGTGGGTGTCCCTGTTCAGTGCAGGGAATGGGACAGATGGCCTTTAAGGGTCCCTTCCAACTCCAGCAGTTCTACTGTGAACTTGAAACTACTTTCAGACTTAGGGAAAGAGCCACACAGATGAAGCAGGTGAAGCCTTGGTGCTGATGCTCACCGGATTTGTACATCAAGAAGTCCTCGTAGACAATAAAGGCTCCTTCCACTGGGCCATTCTTGTAGATCTCAGCCATGATTTCCTTCTCACTGCGAGGGACACCATAGGATGTGATGCCTGGCAAGGTAAAAGAAGTCCTACTATCAGCACAGCCCATCAGACCTTGGGATGGCTGTACCATGACTCAGTGACCTCATGCCATGATGGTTTTTCCTACTCTGGAAATCATGCCACAGCCCAGCAAGGAAAGTGGGCTCCAGCCCACTTGCAGAAGGAACGATTTAACCCCAAGTTCTACTCTGTACCTCTTGTCCAACCTCATTTCCAAAACAAAACAAATTACTTGGTGCTAAGACAAATCTCCAAGCAGCAGCCAGACTACCCCACATGTAGAATATCGCTACCAGCAGCGGGTAGGAAGGGAGCAGCATCAAGGCCATCCTCCAGGGGGGCTCAGGACCTTGCCATTCAACCCAGACACGGGCACCATCACAGCAGTGAGGGGACTCACCTCATGGCATGAGCTCACAGCAGCTGCAGTGAATCCACAAGGACCCACACCAGCTCCCCCACCTCTATGAATACAAACAAGCACATGTGACAGGCTTATGTGTGCCTCAAGAACCACCCATCCTGAAGATGCCCAAGAACCCAAACCAACCACCATTGAATTGCTTCAGAAGAGGTCCAGCCCCTCAGGGAGCAGTTCTGGAGCTCTTGAGCAGCATTGGAGGCCACATCCCTTACCGTAGTGCTTGTCCTCCTTGTAGGAAGGTGAGTAACCAGGTTCGCAGTGCCGGCTGCACCTGGGGGTTTCTCCTCCCTCCCCAGTGCAGGGTGGCCGGGAACCATTGACGTGGTGCTCACAGGGTGGGATGGTGTAGGGCCGGCAGCCTGGCAAGGGCAGAGGTGCCATGAACTGACAGTCCCCCAGTGCCCCCATCCCCAACAGCCATGCTAGAGAAGACATCTGAAGCCATGAGCAAGGGTATGACCCTCCTGACCCAGAAACCCTATGGATCAGTGGGGGAGAGCAGGAGTAGGTCATCACCAGATGAGCAATCAGGGCAATTTTCCAGCCTGGAAATTGCTTTTCAAAAAGGAAATCTGTCAGAAGGATTCTCACTCTCACCCAAAGCATATTAAACTGGTCTAAAACCACCCAAACCATTCACAGCCTAATTCAGGCCTGCCCAGACTATGAAAGCAAAGACCTGTGGGGCTGCAGGTCTGACCACTGTGTTGCCTTCTGTGCAGGCCTCCTGCAGGTGAGTACTGCTCAGGGACCTTTGTCCCAGTTGGGGGACAGCAAGAGCCAGATGGGCCCAAGGCTCAGACCTGAAGGAGGGAGCAGCCACTAGGATGCAGGCCAGCATGCCCTCAAGGAAACAATCCTATAACCAAGCAGAGATGCTCCTCTTTGCTTTCAGCAGTGTATGCACCAGGACTTACCCACATGGGAGTCGTAGAGTCCCCCAGACACGAGGCCCCTCTCTGTCCAGTACCTCCATGCACCAGATGGGTAACCACCATTGCACCTGCAGAAAGAGGCAGCAGTATGAGCTCCAGCCTGCCCGGAGCCAAAACCATCCCCTTCTGAGGGAGGAGGGAGCAACTGAGCCAGTCTGGGATAAATAGAGGGAAGCATTCTGTACATCAATCCTTTAAAGCCTCACAGCAAGAAGCTAAGAGAACCTATGCCTGCAAATCTCAAAGCTGCAGTGCCTGGAGCTTCCTCACCATCTCCCTGATCACCTGCCACCAGCAACCACTCAGCTTGAAAAACCTCACTCCCAGCCCTGCTTCCAAAGACCACAAAAAGCCACAGGCAAAGGGCTGGTGCCTGAAAACCAAGGCTTTGTGGTTAGCAGAAGATCCTTTGGCCAGCTTGCCCTCTCCACATGAGCCACCATCACCAGACTGCTGCTGGAGGAGGGATGTGGCCCAGAGGGACCTTCAGTCCATGCAGACTCCTTTATGTCCCCATGTAACTCTAGCACCTACAAATGCCTGGAGTGGCTTCTTGTTGACTGGGAGGATTTAAAAGATCATAGAATGGCCTGGGTTGAAAAGGACCACAGTGCTCATCCAGTTCCAACCCCCTGCTATGTGCAGGTCACCAACCAGCAGACCAGGCTGCCCAGAGTCACATCCAGCCTGGCCTTGAATGCCTGCAGGGATGGGGCGAGATGAGATGAATCAATATTAGGCATCTCTGGGTTGTGTCCCTGCTCCTCCCACCCACCCTCGAAGCAAACAAGTCCCAGGAACAGCTCACCCCATGCCGCACTCGAAGCCACAGCATGACAGCAAGTCCTCCGCTGACACCTCCACGCTCACCTTGGCATTGGTGTGAACACAGATTCTGTCCGAAATTGCTTCCACAGCACCAAAAGCCTGTGGGCAGCCCCCAAAAAACAAGGGAAGGCCATTAGAGCTGCCCATGGGAAGAGAAACCAGGCAGATTTCTGTCCCCTCTTGGGGACGAGATGAGCGTGGCAAGCATGAACCTGGCTGGAACAAACCTCAGTGCAGGATCCCTTGTGCCCACATTTATAGGGCTCAGAGGAAAAACTCAATGGGATGCTTTTGGTCCACCAAACTCTGTACCAACACGACCTGAAGACATCATGTCCTTACCCAGCAAGAGCCACAGGAGCCCTGGTCTCTGATCTCGCTGATGGTGGGACAATTGGGCCACTGCTTCCTCGAGTCAAAGGTGTCTGGTAAATCCATATCTGCAGCAAAATCTACCCTGCAAGGGAGAAAGAGAGAAGGCTTGTTATGGCCTCTGAAGGTGACCTGGAGGAGGAGTACTCTTGTTATTTGACTACTGAAGGAGAACAAACACTTCTGAAGTCTTCAGGCCAGGTCAGCAGCTCCTCCAGTGCTTTGAGTTTCAAGGAGTACAACTTACACAGTCACTCAAGTAGCTGGCAGGACGCACCCACACAGCATGGTGAAGCACTGGAACAGGTTGCCCAAGGATGCTGTGGATGCCCCATCCCTGCAGGCATTCAAGGCCAAGCTGGATGTGGCTCTGGGCAGCCTGGTCTGCTGGTTGGCGACCCTGCACATAGCAGGGGGTTGAAACTATATGACCATTATGGTCATTTTCAACCCAGGCCATTCTGATTCAATGAAGGGCTGTAAGGAGGATTTGGGGAACTACTGGCCCATCAGCCTGACCTCAGTGCCAGAGAAGCTTATGGAACAGATCATTTTGAGTTAGACTACATGGCATGTGTGGGACAACCAGAGGATCAGGCCCAGCCAGCATGGGTTCATGAAAGGCAGGTTCTGCTTGACCAACCTGATCTCCTTCTATGATGGAGCGACCCACTGAGTGGACGAGGTCTGCCCAGGGAGGTGGTGGAGTCACCATCCTTGGAGGAACATTCAGATGATGTACTAAGGGACACGATTTAGTGGGGAAATACTGATGGTAGGTGGATGAGTTGGACTTGATGATCTTGGAGGTCTTTTCCAACTCTGGTAACTCTATGATTCTATATTCCTGTGCCTAACCCCATGCAAGATACCCACCAGCGAGCTGCATCCAGAGGAACCCCACTCACAGCCTGCAGGGGAAGACCCTT